AATGTACTTTTCTCATTAGATGTTACAAAGCAAATCTTTAAGTGGTATGTTGGAAACAATTGATCAGAACTCTATTAAGCAGAAAGTTTTCTAAATGTGAGATTCCAAAACTCCATTTCATGGAAGTCATATTTTAGATTTGCAATTCATCTCCTAGTACTAAATAGGAAAAATGAAGGGCACTATGTATTGATACAGTACTCTACACGTATTTCGTGGTATATTCTACTGTGCAGTCTTGGCAATTAGTTCAGGGATTATTCTTTCTGGCAGGAGAGATTATAGGCTTTAGAGAAGCTGGATTTTATGTCTGTTTAAAAGTACAATGCATTTTTTTCAATACTCCACAAATCAAGACTGCCCAACTGAGAACCCCTCTTCTACCAAAAATAGATGTCAGGGGATGAGAAAAGGGGAAAATGAAATACGTTTCTGTATATGCTCAAGATTTCCTTCACATAGGCATATTTTAGCAAGGTGGGCTACAATGAAATACAGTACTGTAAAAGAAATTTGGATGCCTGAAATGTAACAGTTTTGTCCTCTTCCCACTACTACCGAGGCAAATTCCTGCAAAAAAACAGAGGTGCAATTCAGAATTATACGTTTCATTTTTTCTTTTCACTGTTCTCCTAGCTCATGTTGTTAAGGTAAAGCAAAGGAAAATGGGCAAAAGATAGGTAATAGAATAAGATATAAAGTACTCCCTATTGCATATTTCCCCATATAAATTTATAAAGAAAATAGCTAAAAACTAAACAAAAGATTAAAGCTGGAATTTACAAAAACATACACCCACCACCTCCCCAAAAGATTCAGTCATACTTTGGGAAAGGAAGGGTAAATCTCATTCTTAAGTAGAATTTGTTTCTAAGGAAGCTAGCAATTCTATGTGCTCTTAATTTAAATGAAAGTTCTGTAATGCTTAGAAGGGCTTTGAACTATCTCTGTGTAGGAGTGGGCTGTATATGTTTTGAGTTATGATCTACTATGATCAAGGCTTCAACTTGGTAGATATGAATCTAGCAAGGCTGTATGATGTCCAAATGTTGTAGGGGCTAACAACCCAGTAGTTAGGTTTCTACAATTAAAGACAGCCTGCTTGGGAAGCTTTGTGGTTGGGAAACTGCTTTGTAATCCTTGGATCTGCTTAATGATTTCCAGGTGGTTACTCAAGAGTGTGGGAAAACTTTCTGCACATATTCTAGGTATGAGACTGGATTGTATCTTTCATATGTGTAATATTTTAAAATATACATACCAACTGCTATCCTTCATAAATTGCTAGGGAGCTCACAATTAAATGGTAATATTTTTCTTGACAACAAATTTACAAAACTCAAATCAGCAATAGAAGCAGCACAGTGCAGTGGCCTTAGTAGGTTTTGTATTTTCTTCAAGGTAACAAACTAAGATGGTATGTATGTGCATTTCTGCTGTCCTCTCACACTGCATCTGTATTTGTATCTACACACTGGGAAGCACAGAGCAAGGTGCATAAGCTCTGTGCTGCATTTATAACCAGGAGGAAAGCTTAGACTGGAGGAGTCAACAACATTTCAAGCTACTGCCCAACTGCATCTCCCATAATGATGCATCATGGCATTTTTTTCCCCCTGGAATGTCTTTTTCCATAGCTCATGGCTGGATTTAACTAATTTTTTAGCTTGATTTTTTCTTTGCTGGTTTATTTCTCCATACCATAATTAGCCCAGTTCTGATCTGCTTTTGGAGAGTTATCCCCCTGATTAGCAGATGGACAGAATCCAACCTTCTGTTGAGTTGGAAGGAATAACAAGTTAGGGAAAGCATGGAGAGAATGGCTTCTCGAAATCTTTCCAACATCTTAATAGCTGCTCTGGGTCACATGACTGAGAATGGGGCTTAGAATGGAGGAGTCAATAATCTTCCAAGCTGCTGCCCAACTGCCTTTCCTATAGGCTCCCATGCAGCCTCCAGAAAAATCTGACCCATTTTGAAACATACTCTTTCTTTTGTTGGCTTTGCTCACTCCATCAAATATGATTCTGTACTATTTTCAGAGAGTTATCCTGCTGCGATCCAGATGGACGGAGTTCTGGTTTACATAAATTACATAATTTATTTCCTTTATCTGGCTGGGTTTGAAAGAATCATTAAGTTACTTAATGTATGTATATTTACAGCCTGAGAAATGTGCCACTGGATATTTCTGTTTTGGGTGCCAAACTAGCTTGGTTGGCTTTGGGCAACTGGCTTGTAGAGGATCAACTGTTGCTCTACCTTAGGCCATAAATTGTGTGGTTGATAATCCAGTTGGAAAGGGCAAGTAAATGGGCAAAGTTGGAAGCTGCTCCTTGAAGGAGCAGCTGCCTTGCCCTTGTTCCCTCTGGATGACTAAGCCCCCATCACCCAAATAGGATATGTAAACAAGTAGAGCTCTGCAGAGAGAGAATCTAGGTGAGAATTTGGAAGAGGTAGTAACTTCCACCTCTTCAATTCTTACTGCCAAGAAAATAAAAAGCTGAACTTTGTGCAAAGACAGTAGAACTTCCATTTCAGTTGAATTCCTCTTGAATTATAACTTGCACAGTTCAACTCAATTTTTGTGGCTGCCTCTTGATATTTTCTGTGTCTCGGGGTTGTATCCTTCTGGTAGTAGGACAAGAAACATGGAAGGGAGAAAAGGCCATTCTCTTTCAGTGAAGCAGCACAATGGGTTAGGTACATGGTGCTACCTGAGTGTTGTAAAATACTAGACAACCTGTGACCCATTGGGTCATCGTTTCAGAGATATTTCCTTACCTAAACAGAGAAACAGAATGATCAAGGGGAAAAAAGTAGTGGGAATGTGAGCAACTTACAACTTGCCGCTGGCTTCCCCATTGACTTTGCTTGTGGGAAGCTGGCAGGGAGCGTCAGCAATCTTCCTTCCTTTCTCCCTCCCTCATTTTCACATATAATATAGGCTTGCACCATTTGTCCTCCCCTCATGACCCTCAGGAGAGCCCCGGTGAAGCCTCCTCTTCAAGGGAGGAAGACAGCTCACCCATTGAGCACCAGAATCCCCCCTCACCAGCCGGCATCCAAGTCACTCCCTCAACACCCACTACTGTTAAGAGATTTAAAATTTCTGCCTCCTTTCCAAAGCAGCCAATCACTCTCACCTGTCAGGCCATGCCACCAGCCAACTGGGCGCAGAGGACAGAGGGAGGTGGGAAAGAAGTTGGGGATACGTCCATGACAATCATGTGATCTGGGCTGACTATGACAGCACAGTAGTGCTGAAGTGGCCACAAATTTCAGTCCCATGGGAGTCAGGAGTCCTGGATTTTGGATGCATTCTGTAAGTTAGCCCATTTGAGGTACCTTGGTTCAAAAATTGTTGCCCTATGATGCACCATTTTGCCCAGTTAAAGGTTACAAACATGAGAGTTAGTAGTATATAGATGGAAAACAAGCCCTTCATTCACTTAGTTGTTCACTTGAATTCTGATGGTGCATTTGCTCAGTGAACCAAATTCTCTATTCTGTGCAATCCAGAGGGAGAAAGAAGGTGCTTTAGGCAATACTATACAGATTGGTCACTGTTTCTGGTTATAATTTGTTTTCTCTCTCTACAATGCTCAATGCTCTCATTCTGATCGGGATTAGGAATAAAACTAAGCCAGGTTTTGTATAATAAATGATAATTGACCCAAACATTAAATTGGTGCCAAATAAACCACACTGTGACTTTAGAGTGATATGCTAATCTAGTCCTTCTTTCTGCTTAGCTGGCCCACTCAGAAGGAGACAAAAAGGTGAAGGGCTATTTTCCTCCTCACTCACTTGGTGACGGAGTGCAGGGCTGCTCCTCAGGAAAAATAGGTTGCTTCTTCTGCCTACTTGCTTAGCCAATCTCACATTGGCTTGCAGGTGTGGGAGAGAATAGCTGGCTGCTCCTTTAGCAATGCTGTACTGCCCATAGAAGCTGGAAGAAGCATTTCTTTCTAAGGTCCAGCCAAGATGGCCACCTTAAAGTACAATCCTTGAGTACAATCCACCAATAATGTTTGCTGCCCAGATACAGGAACCTTCTTCTGTCTTGGTAAAGAGGAGAGCGAGTAGTACTGATCTTATAGTTTTAATGCAGGACAAGATGAGGAAAGTAGTTGGTGGATTTCACTGGTTTCAGTATCGCTTCCCAACAAGAAGAACCATCATCAATTTATCTCCTTAATGCATGGTGGAGATGATGCTTTGAACAGAGGACAAGAAGAGAAGAGGTAAGAATAGTCATACCCTGTTGCATTTGCTAGCACATTTCCCTGCCTCCCCACAGAACAGCAATAATCCAGGAACATTCTGCCATGGCATGGAAGCAGAGGCTTCCCAGGAGCTAGTACGAGCCTCTCTTTAATTTTATAGCCTGTTGTTTGTCATCCCCTAGTAAGTAATAAGCTGAGGATATGAAGAGGATACTTAAAAGTGGCCCTCTAGGGAATAATAATATTCTGCCAAATAACCATATAACTAATTTAGCAGTCAAGAAATGTAAGCATGAAGTACATGCCTGGTACTGCCTTGGTGTTACATATGTTTGAGAGCTGATTGAATCTCACTCTCCTTTCCCTCCAAAATCCTTGCCCAGCTTTGCTATCGAATCTGCTGATCGACTCCAAGATTAAGATCTCGTTTAAGAGTAATAAATACCTATTAAAACAAATTATCTCGCCTGCGAAGGGGACTGGGCCTTTTGAACTCTCGGAGAAGAATTCAAGCGGGCTCTCGGCGAATCTGTCAACGTCGTAGCCCGCCAGTTTTTTGTAGCTGTTGTTGGCTTCTCAGAGCTACGCAGCTCTCATATTAGCTTTAGCGAGGGGGGTCCTCTCCACCTTCTTCACTCCTCCCGCTCGCAAGAGAGGGGCGGGCCGTCGCTTCCATGATCGTTCGAATGAACCAATAGGCCCTAGCGAGTCCGTGAAGCAACCAATGAAAAAATTAGGGAGGAGATGCGAGTGGTGTAGGTTGCGCTGTCCTCTCAGCTCGGCGCATCCCCTCTGCTGGACGAAGTGCGACCATTTTGCAGGGGGGGAGCTGCGAGTGGTGGCCATTGACGGTGCTAGAGAGCCAGGTTTGGGGCGCGGGACGGCGGCCTGAGTCGCTGGACCCGGGGATTAACGCCCCCCCCGGGAAGGCGAGCAAGAACAGTGCCAACGCTTCTCGGTTATTTTGTCGTCTTCGTCGCCAGCGCCCGCCTCCGAGCTTCGATTTAACCAGCCAAGATGTCTAGGCCTGTCAGGTGAGTCCTTTGCAAATGGAGAAAGGCCCTTGGGGCTGTTTTGGTTTTCCCTCTCGGAGGCCATCCTCGGATCTGGAGCGGAGGAACAAGCAGAGCTGGCCAGGAGGTCCCACGCGAGGGAGGAAGACGGCCGGGACCGAGTAGGTATGGCGGGAGAGCAGAGAGGAGGGGCGTGTGCAGGCATGCAGCGTGCTGCTCCTCGATAGTTGGGGGACTATGGCACGCCGCTGCCGCCGCCCTGCAGGTCCCTCCTTACAGGATGCAATGCTGCCCCTTAAGGTTAGCGCAAGCAAAGTCCATGCTTCGACGTGGGAAGAAGCGGCGGCGTCCCTAGTTCTCTTAGTGCGCATCGTCAGCGAAGAGCGAACGAAGGCCAGTCCGGCGTGACACCGTCTCGAAGATTTGGAAGCGGTTTCACCCCGGAAGAAGCCAGGGCCTCGAAATGCCGAACTACACCGTACACGACGTGTGTTTCTTAAGCCTTTTTGTAAGCATTGCTGGTACATACGTGTTGGGACGCAGCTTCTTGGCAAGGGTGAGCAGCTCATAGGGAAAGGATTTACTGATTGGGCGGGGTAATAGATTACTATAGAGGACTGATCGAGAAGCAAGGTAATGTCTTCTCATGAAAGGGTGCAGTTTCATCGGACCTGAAGTAAAGACTCTCAAACAGCCTTATATTTCACCATGTATTATATTGAAATCTTGCTGTTTTTCCAAGGAATTGACATACGTGGCTCTGTTTCAAATTATAGATTTTCCAGCAATCCTATGAAGGATTGGGCTGAAGATGAGCTTTCTAATTAGCATTGTGGCTGATGGAAAGTTCGAATCTGCATTTTCCTGCATAGTGAGGAAGTATGGAATTTTTGTCTACCCTGGATAAGAAAGCCAGAAGCCCTTTATATATGTATGCTAACTTCTTTCCTTGACAGTTTTGCCAAGATGCTCAGGTCATCCTTTTGACTGCTATTCTAGGCTCATTGACCATGCCAAGATACTCTCTATTTACAAGGGATTCCCTGACTGCTTTTCTGCTCAATCAGTCAGTGTAGTATAGTTCCCACCTCCATTTCCTGTAGGATAGATATGAAAGACTGCCTGGTAAACAGAGGAAGAACGAGAAAATTTCTCAATATTTCTAATTTGGCTCTTAAGGCCAGCCAAAAAATGGGAACCTGAGTTTCTGTTTCTTCTAACTATCATTTGTTGTGGACCAGGACTAAAAGAGTGACTTGTCTGAAGTTCTTATGCTAAATCTGGCTCAACAAGATTTAAATACATGTTGCTCCAATCAAAATCCACTCTTTGATACACCACGGTAGCTTTTATATAAGCTTTAAAACATGTATATTGGGTTACAACTTCTGTCATTCCCAGCAGGTTGTACCATAGCCATGAAGTATGGAAATTATGGAAGATACAATTGGATAAGAAAGCTGGTATATGCTGAGTAGCAATTTTGCAATTGTAGTAAATCAACATTTCCTCTGTGTTTTTAGTTTTATGTTCTGTTCCTCTACAGAAGTGCATTCAACATTCAGTTTCTTCTCATGCTAGTTATTACCTCTGCAGATATTAAACATGGGATTGCTTAGAATTAACTAGTAAGTATTTAGTTTAAAAAGTAGGATTACCAAATCTTATAACTTTTTTTAAAGGTTATGTAAACTTTTAACAAAAAGCTTTTATTTTTCAAAGTAATTTCAAAAACTAATAGGAAGACTTTTATGTAAGAATATTTATAACAGGTTTGGCACCAGTAGCATGTGTGATGATGTCCATGGAACTTCACTGACTTAAATCTTATGAGGTTGCCAAATCTCATGAGAATTCAATGTTCTTGTCTGAAGTCTCATAAGATTTTGCAAGCAAGAACATTAAAATTCTGCAATACTTCATAGATGGGAATGCTGAAATCTCAATGAAATGTGGCATTCTTGTGATGTGTTTCCTTTTTCATATATATAAAAAAAAAGTTCTGATAAAAAAATGAATACCTACGCCACCATGCAAAATAGCTTGATAATGCATAATAGCTTAAAAAGTTGTTGACCTCGTTTTGTGCAGTACAACTTTTTAAATATGAAGATAGGAATGTGTTTTTTTCCTGCAGAGGGCACTATCATTAATTTTCACAAGAGAAGAACTCAATTCTCCTTTGTTCATGGGCTTGCTTACTCTTGCTGACTTTTAATCTGGAGGTTGGTCATCTGTTCTTGTCTCCATTAAAACTCAAAGCATTGAGAATGATACCCACATATGTACATAGTGCTAAAAAAAATAGCACAGAGGTTTTGTTTTTTTCTAATTTTTTTGTTCAAAACAAAATGAGGAAAATCCTTTATTGCTTCAACATTTCCCGAAACTTTAAATTTCTAATTACAAAACATAATAAGGTAGTAAGCACTATGCTAAAATAAACAGTAAAATTCTAATTCTGTTCTAAGCCAAAATGAGATTTTAGGCCCGCTTTAAACCTGTAATGAAGGAGCCTGTCAGACAGTAGCTGTAACGAATGAACTCCAGATTCCTTTATTTTCTTTTACTTGTGAAATAAATTAATTCTAGTGAAAATTCATACAGTTAACAAGCAAGTAAGCAGAAGAGTAAACTTAACCAGTTTGTTTAAGACTTCAGTCTATGACAGTAGGATTAAAAAAAGGATCTTTCAAAGCCTTGCTTTCCTTAAAAAAATAAATTGAATGGGTGATGTTTAGACATACAGATTTCTAGTGAATTTCATCTATTTCAAGTTCATTTTATAAACATTTACCAAATCATTCATTTTCAACTCTTTAATGTTTTTCCTACCTACAAAACTAAGATATAAATAAGTATCTTTAACTGTTTTATTCTTAACAATATTTGTAACTATAATTGATTAGGGCATTTACATTTTTAAATGCCATAGCGCTACCAAATAGAATAGTTAGTGTTAAGTTATATACAATGTGCTATGGATCTTAAAGAGTAATTGGAATGAAATGAATCTGTTTAATTATTGATTTTTCCAGATTGCCATGAAAATCTTCAGATGGTATGCTTTTTTCCTCGTAGCCCATAATTTCTGGATGTTATACCTCTCAAATGAATTTGAGGGGCAAAGTAGTAGTGCTGAATGAATTCTTTGGGAATTAAATTTTAATAGGGAAGAGAAGCTGAAAGAATGTTCACTAAGCTTCCTTCTGTCCATCCCCAATAGAATATCTGCATTTATGTAGGTTAAGAAGAAAAAAATAGAGCTCTAAATAGGTTGGTTAGGTGTTTTCTAAAGTGAAAGTGAGCAACCTAGAAAATGCAAATCTTTAATATTAAGAGGATGGTGATTTACTGACATGCTTGAAGGGGTGTGTGGGAGTATGCTTGGGAGGTTTGTATTTTCATATTTACCTAGAATTGTGATTAAATGTGTGATACTTTTAACTGACAAACTTGTCAGTTACATGGATTTAAATTTCTTAGGGAGAAAACGTGCTTTTCTTGAGGAAAAGCTAAAGATTAATACAATTTGATTTGTTATTTATAAATTCCTAACTTAATATAATCATCTGAGTTTGAGATCTGCAAAGCCTGAGAAATTATCTGATAGATAACTGTACATTGTATTAGATTAAATCTTTATCATTTTGAATCCTAAATTAACTGTATTCATTGTAGTGATTCAAATCACAAATGGAGTAAAACACTGCTTAGCAATATCATTACATAATACCTGATACAAATTTAAAAAAAATTAATTAATGGAGTATTTTATTTTAAAGTGCTCTGTAATTCAGTTGTTAAAATTTATTTGTTCATTTTTCTACACCAGACAACTCTTTAGTTTATTTTCCAACATCTGGCATAATTTGGATTTGTTACTGCTTTACTGTGATTTGTCAACACAAGGAAAATCTGATTGTTTTGATTATCAAATACAAAGCAAGGTTTAGAATGGAAAGAACTATGCTAAAATGTTTATCTAACTACTACAAAGTTTAAAGATTCCTTGTGGAAAATATTTGGGTGTAAAGAAAGCTTCTCATACAATTTGAATATTAAATGACTATATCTTTTATCTTTTTTCCAAAATGTTCAAGGTATCATAAATAGTGCTACCATCAAAGTAGCCTGATGCATTGAGTATAAAAAGAAAGAAGACTACTTTTCTTCTGTTGCGTATGTCTTTATCATGTTTTTGGTGCAAGGGGTTATTTAGAACATTTTGGCAACGTAGACTTTTGATTATGTAATTGGGCTAGAGAATTTGTTTTAGTTGGGAATTGATTTTTTACTCTTGTTGGTAGACTGGACTATGTCAGTGGGCAGGGCTCTAAGGATAAATCTCATCCTGGACAAAAGTCCTGCCCCTGATGTAATATGTTTATACATGTAGGAGCAAGCAGAGGACAATACTCCTTGCTTGCTCTGCACTAAGAAAAGCAGAGCCGCATAAGCCTCATTCTCTGTGCAGAAGCAGGCACAGAAAAGCACTTTACATCTACTCCTGTGCTGAGGAAAAAAGTCTGTTTGGGAATTAGCAGAGTAATGTCTCTGCTTACTGTTACATGGCAAAGCAATGGAATTATATCAAGCTGAGCTCACACTACTGAGATGGGGTCTTGCAATATGAGCCAAGTGGGCATACTTCAAGCTGTACAGGGCCACAAGTCAAAAGAGTCTGCATTCCTGCTCCCTAGTATATAGCAGAATGTAAATATTGAAGAAGTGGCATAAATGGTTATAATATATTAGAAAAAAATAACAAATTTTGAAATAATATAATTCTTGTCTTTATTCTTAGATTGAAAAGGAATAATATAGTTTTCAGCATTCATCCGTTTGTTTATGTAGCCATAATAAAGCAGATGTGCTGCTACAAATATGGTGGAATAACCTCAGAATCAACTGTTGTGATTTTAGATTCACAGGAGGTATGATTCAGTATTAATTGAATTTAAGATTTTGATCCAAAACAGGAAGCTGATTGAACTTACTCAAGAATTTTGGCATGAACG